TTTTTTCCTGAATTTGGCAACTGTATTTTTCCACTTTCTCGTTTTGAGGGCCCTTTAAGAAGAGTTTTCTGCCGACAATTCACCGTTTTTTCGCGCAGCATTACATAACTTTCTCTATACCTCCGTAGCAGTAGTGAGAAGGTAATATACTGTGGCAGAGGTAGCGTAAGTAAAAACTAGAGCGACCATTGGGAATCAAAGTCAGAACCACGTGCGCGGGAGCTGAATATACCCGACACGGATACTATACATAAAATTCAGTAATATTTCAATATAGTCGTTTTATACCTTTCCCGTGTACATACGTATATACGAATAAATATACTTGTTTAGGAAAGTAATGTAATGCTGCGAGAAAAAACGGCGGATTTTTGGCAGAATTAACCCATTGCCGAACCTTGGTAACGAAAAAGTGAAATAATTATGTTGCTAAATTAAGCGGAGAAAATCCTCTAACACGTGAAGTAACCAGAATCCCTGTTTCGTAGGTTCTTGATACCGATAAACCAATTGACGGCAAAACGTCCGTCTGTCTGCCCATCTGTCAGTCTGTGAACCACTAGCGCCTAAACCGTACGTATGATATTTTCCAAAATGAATTTTCCGCGGTCGATCTGGCTCCACTCGAGGAGACGCGATTTTGAAAAACTTTCTTCAAAATTTGGGGGTGCTTTACATAAAGTTAGCTGGACATTTCCAAAATTTGCTCAAAAACGGCTTTAAATTTTTTTCTATAAATTTCTTGTAAGAAGAGAGTAAAATACACTTATAATCTCAGAGTTATCTCTGAATTTTTGAAAATTGTAAAAGTTTTTTGAATTGTTTTGTAGCGTCTTCCTACAATTAAAAATTTTGACGATATAGATTTTAACCTGAAATAAAATTTATTCGCCATAGTGAGTTCTTTAATGTAATTGTTAATGTTCTTCAAATTAATTTCTAACTTTTTTTTTTTTTGAAAATTTTAGTGGTTTTCGCGCAATATTGAATGCGAGCAATATATGCGGTTTATAAAAACTTGCAGTGTATTTATTAGTGTTCTGAATTTTGGAAATTACATTTCCGTCATTCGATGGAGCTGTAAACTTCAGTTTGTTTGGGCACCAGCCACCTCTGCCATACATAGTATATGAACAAGATTTAACAGGTTTTTCTTTACCAGAGCCCAGTAATAAAAGTGATTCTGTGGAAAAATCGTCGTTTTTTGCAGCGTTACATTTTTTTCTGCGTAAGCAATGTGCCAGAATGTAAAAGAGAAGCTTCGCGGGGCCGCAGCCTTCTAAAAATGAACGTCTGCATGTCTCGTGGTGTTCCATGATATCATGCGACGACTCGTTTTTGACAGTTTCAAGTTGTCCCCAGACTAGGAAGCTTATGATGATCGATTTTCCGCAAACATGCAGTTGAACGTAAACGCACACATGCATTACGAAAACGACATAGGGAGTATTGTGAGAATGTAATAAAAATAGGAAGTTTTTTTGTTTAGTATTATAAATAACATAATTTTGATTAAACCTGTATACTTGTTTTTGCTGGCGAATTTACATATTTACGTTATTTCATGTATAGTAGTTATTCATTGGATGTTTAGTAAAATGCCTATTTTATTCTAATGGCAATTAATATGTGTGTATGAATTGTGAAAAAGTAAACATTCGTTATATATATATATATATATATATATATATATATATATATATACTGGTAACGAATCTCAAGTGTTTGTATCGACTGAACCTGTCATTCGGGTTTGCAGACCACTATTTGGAACCCAAAAGCTACAGATTTTTTTCACATCTTTACACAAATAAAATAAAATAAAAAACGGTGGTGTGTGTGTGTATCTCTCTCTCTCCCCCTTCCCCCTCCTGGGCTGCATTTGATATGAATATTTAGATGCGTTTTTTAAAACAAATCTCCCATATTTTTTGAAGTTAAAATGCAGTTTCTCACGTCTTCGTGAAATTCTCTTTCTTTCGAGACCTCATTTATAAACATTGGTTGCGTGTGAGAGCCGCAAAATCTGAAACTACTACTGAAATAATATAAAAGACGATTGCTCATAGATTACGTTCTTTTGGAATTTGTGGGTCAAACATTGTTTAAGCCCTTCTAGCTCAGGTACCATCCCTTAGAAGCCCGTTGTTTCATCTCGATAGATTTTTATACATTCTTTCTTACTTCTTACGTGTAGAGAAAGGGTAATGCTACAGAAAAATGGCGGTTTTTCGAGAGAAAAATTCATTTTTTTGGTTCCTGATGCCAAAAAACAGATAATTGCTGTTCCTGTGTGTAGCAAATAACTTCTTCCAGCAGAATATACCTTTTGTTGTTCTTTGAACGTCTCCCCGTCTGTGAACGACGCTAGCGGCTAAACGGTAAGCAACATTTTTACCAAAATTGAAGCTTCCATATCTATCTGAATGATGTTGCGGCCCTTTGTATTTGAAACTGATGTATTGATTTTTAGGAGTACTTTACATGACGCCTTAAGATCATTTTCATCTCTTTTCAACAGCTGCACTTTTTTGCAAGTCCAATTTTCGTTGAACTCTCTGAATTTTCGAAAGTTGTAAAAGTTACAAATTATGCGAGAAAGTATGCGTTGTTTTGCAGAAATGGAATGTTTTGTGGAATCGGAACGTATGAGAAAGTGACCTCGAAAGGGCAAAAGTAGTGGGACGGTTATATTTGTACACTAAGCATTTGTAATTGCCTGTAAGCACTGCTGGTAGCACAACACGCGCCGTGCAGCGAAAGCATTACACTCGAAACATCAGGAAAATAATGGGACTTATAGAGGTGCAACGAGCTTTTGCGTACATATAACTAAGAATCCACTACCAGCAACATCACGTGACTCAAGCTAGCAGGACCACAGATAAATCTCGGATATACAGCAAATATATCCACGAAGTCTATAGACACTTCGTGTAGATATACAACATATATCTGTGGGAAGAACGTATATAGTACGATTTATTTGGCCATGCACTTGACGTAAATCAGTTGTTGCTGTTGCATCCAATCGGGAGCTTAAAAGTCTCTTCAGTAACGTCACAATGGGAACATTCAAGCTCCCGGGTGGATAAAACCATGAACAGATGTCAAGTGCGCGGTTAAGTAAATCCTAGTATAAATTGAGGTACCAAAATCGCGGTAAGTTGGCAGTTCTGCCAACGCCCTGGGATTCCCCTCTGAGAGACGGGATGTCCATCGTTACTATCGGCGAGTGCGCGTATGTGTGTGAGCGCTGTGGGCGGATGAAGGTATCTGGACGTTTCCGCCGCTGTAGCCATTTCATTGCATTTCATTTCGTAATCGGCCCGGAACTGTTGCAGACGTGGCTGAAGAGTTCTGACCAACTGACTGACCTCATCAAACTTTCAGTTCCTGGGGAGGGACCACGTACATTCCTCTGGGCCAATATTATTTGTATATAGTACTTCAATACAGGTAGGTGTTGTAAGCAAATTACCATTATCAGATATTATTACTTTATGCATCAGCTCTCAAAGTGCACAGAATGTTCACCGTAGTTGAAATTTGTGATTCGCAATAAAGAATTTGCGTTGAACCACTTAACTTCGAGGCCCAGTAATAATTCATTTAACAGACTCGTATAAGAAAGGATATTTACGTTCAAATAGGTGACAATCCAGAGTAGTTGACGTGAAAGGAAGTGAATGTAAAACCATTTTGAAAACAATACACCAAAGTCGTAATTTTGTCTATTTGTACTTCTATTTATCCCACCTTCGTCACGTAGTTGTTCCTGTTCTTTGGCAAAATAAATCAAATCAAACCTGAAAACTATTTATTCCAAATGTATAAAAGAATAGTAACATTTTTATTACATTCTTAAATTCATGTGAATTATATGATTATTTTTATTACAGTATGTTGCCCCTAGAAGATTGGCCTTCCATGTTCTCATTTTCTGACTTGCAAAACTTACTGATGAAAAAGATTTCACACTTTCTTCACATCTTCTTCTTGAATAACGAGTCTTTGAGAGACCACTAATGCACTTCTTCTAAAGACACTGAATACAAGTGCATATCAGGAACTACTGAATAATTACTATTCTCTAAAAAGCGGACATAGGTAAAATGTGAAATCCAAGCTTCATAAATGAAGATTTATGCAGTCATTTAAAGACACATTTTGTAAAACTTGGTGCACACTCTACCTACATTACCATGTATTAGGATTGATTTTGTTGGGTCATCTATTTTTAAAATTATGTGTATTTTTCTCCATTAAACTAATGTGTAAGTTAAATTTTTGTTTTACAGTAAAATGGCTCATCCATCTCAAATTTTGCCCTCAAAATGTTGCTGCTGCAGTTTGCGAGCTGGCTCAATTGTAGTAGGATCCTTCACTTTGGTAAGAATTTGTCCCTTTCTTTCTTAACATTTAAATTGTAATACATTCAGAATTAATATTTTTACTGTTTTGTTAAGTTAATATACTGTTTTCCAACTGTTATATGTTACTTACTATGTATCCTACTGGTAATAAAAATAGCAGGCTATATGAGGCTTTCCTGGAATCTATAATTTTAATTAACTATTTTTCAACTGAATCAACATTCAGCAGTTATTCAGAGAAAATTTATATTGATATTTTATTTAACCAATTAACGGCTTCTAAAAAACTAAATATACTAAAAACATTAATTATGAGACCTTATTTTATTTTTTATTGCTATTTATGTAAACTTCTGTTTGCAATGTTCAATAAGATTGTTTGTGGTTCTCATCAAATTTAAAAGTTTATTATACTTGGATTTACTCATAACTGCACTTGACGTAAATCAGCTGTTGCAGTGTCATCCAATTGGTATATCCATAGTTCATCACTGTAGTGATGTATAAGCTCCCATTTGGATGACATCACAACAGCTGACAATCAGGAGCAGATCCAACTGATCATTGGGGAAACAGTAGTTTTTTGTTAAATAATAAATATATTTGTTATTATATTGTATTTTATTTATGCACTGTAGATATGATACAATTCTTTTGTTTAATGATGTAATTGAAACATAAATATTTAAATAAATTTTGCCAAATAAAGGAAGGTAAACAAAAACTCTAGACCTTTGTTTTGTAGGAGGGGAGGACATGGCTGGTAGTGTGTGCCTTCTGTTAATTACAGTTTTTGCTTTTATGTACTGTTCTAACAAATAGGTAGGCCCTACTTGTCTATAACAAATTTACTTTTTTTCTTTGTTGCAGATTGTTGCATTAACATTTCTGGGACTCACTGCAACAGCCAGTAGTGCACTTAGTAATAGTTGTTCATATAATTATGGTAAATATATTTTGAAAAATTTTCTCTGTCCTTTCGAAAACAAGTGCATTGTAAAGATCTGTTTTGAGTCATATTGAAAAAATATTTTTGCTTGGGATATTTTGAACACTGTATTATGGTGTGATATAAAATAACAGTTTTTTATGCTGTTCGTAAAAGATTTATTGCATAAGAGGAAAAACTATACAGGGATTGAAGTTATTCTAACTCTCTAGAAAATAATAATTTTTTCATAACATCACAGTATTATTCTAATGGTAGAAATTAAAAATCAGAATCTTGCTTATATCTTACATTGACACTCTTTTATAGATACTTCACGATGTGAGCAACCATCAGAGGCTCTGAAAATGGTTGCCAATATGATGGCTTTGCTTGCCGTGCTGAATGCAGTGGAAGCAATCATGAGTGTTTGTCTCATTTGGGGTGCCAGTAAAGTAAGATAACATTTTTTCATTTATGAGTATAAAGCAAAGGTTATTTTAAATTAATATTTAGATATATTAAAAATAAAAGAAAATTGATGTGTGAAAGTTTAAGACAATAGTAATGATTATTAGTAGGAGCGGATTTTAATGAAATATCAATTTTTTTCGTTTCACTTTACGATTTTTTTACATTTAATATGGAAATTCACTTTATGATATGACAACAAAATTACCTATTTTATATGTAATTTTGGGGGGATTTTTCATCGATTTCTGCTAATAAATCATTTTTTACCTTTTAACGTCACTTTTAATTCATTTTTTGCTGATTTCCTCTATTTTAATATCATTTTAATGGCACTTGCTTCAAACATCATTTACGAGGTGAGCAACCATCAGAGGTTCAGTTTGGTGAAGGTCGAGTGGCTTCTTTATTTTTTGGGTCTAGGATCCCGGAGATCTCTAGACTCTTTGTTTCAAGTGGGAGGGTGGTTTTGGAAGGGCAAAACTGTCTCCCTTTGTTGAGTTTTATAGGTTTTCAAGTCAGCAGGCAGCTATGCGTAGCTATTGTAGGCAAGGGGGAGGAGCGTTGCCTCACACGAGTTACAAAAACAGCACACATGTGAGATGTTAAGACATCTCAATATTTTGGTGTCACAATAACAGCTTATGCTGATAATGAACAGGATGTGAAAAATAACTGGTCATGCTAAAGAATGGCACAGACTTTCTTGTACTAGTTAGTGTTTTAATTTATTTCGTCTTAAGTTAGCTCTTCGATCTTGCCACATACTCTTGTTCGCTGCCATCTATTGCCACCCAATTTTTTTTTATTTTTTTTTTTTAATTTTTTTTTAACTTCTCTATTTTTCCGTTTCCTAATAGTAGAACTGAAATATTAGTTTAAGAATATTACAGAAGAGCAAAACATCATCTAATAAGGAACATTTTTTTGAAAGAATATGGAGTTCAAGTAATAATGTGAATGCGAAATTTTTTGAGGTTTAAAAAAAAAAAAATTGGAAGTAATTTGAAGCACTTTCACTCACAAATGTAATAATGTACACAAACCGTTGGGAATGTACATATTAAAAGGCATGATATACATATAAAAAAAATTACATTTTGGGTAATTTTTTACAAATTGAGACCAAACCTTTAGCAGTGCTCCAAAATCGAGCTGTCACTGTGGACAACACCGTTCCGTTGGTTATGGACATGCAGACAAGATAGTGGTCATCTTGTGAAGTGGTCATATTGTGTGATCCAGTACCCGCTCGTTGCTGTGTAGGACTCTGCTCTACTCATTGGTTCCACACACGCATCATTGTCATTGCAGTATGCCCCGCTTGAGCCGCAAATGAGACATTACCACAAACCCGCTTCCCTGATACTGATCATTCTGCCCCATTCGTACCGGTGCAAATGATGATATTGCGCTTTTTGGTGTCAACGAGGTGTACTGGCAATTGCTTGCACTTTTCCATGTTGTTTGACGGCTCTACACAGACAGTGTGATGTAACACTGATCTCACCTGTCACACAAAGGAGGGCATCGCTAGATCAATGTGCATGCCACCTCTACGCAAATTTAATCACTTCTTATGGACACACTGGACATACACAAACTGATTTTTTACGTGATGGTGACCATTTCTTCTAGGTATTGCAATTTTCACAAATTACAGTGTTTTTAAAATGAATGGTCAACTCGAATATGCAAGTTAGATATCTTGATTGTGAAGAAAATTACAGGTGTATTTAATTTGAAGAATAGGAAATTACTTATACTTTATTAAATGATTTGAAAATCAACTGAAAGTATACTGAGTTGATGTTTAGTTTGATTGTTGTGTTTTCAATAAAATTCCATTCAATAATTAAAATTTATTTTCAGTTTTGTTCATTATTTTCTTGTGAGATATTTTCCTCTAAAAAAGGATTGTGTTCAATTGTGTTATTTGTATATATTTGTTAACCCGTTTTGCATCTCTTTTTTCCTTTATTAAGCTCTCTTCAGGCTGTGGTGTGGGGAAAATAAAGAAAGTCATAAACACACGAATGTGCCATCGCTTAGATCCCTGAGAAACTTAGCCGATACAATTTTTCTTCTTAAACTTATCACAAGCAATATGGATTGTCCTTCACTTTTTAAAGGGATTAACTTCAGGGTTCCCCCTGTCAATATTAGAAGGTTCACTGCGTTTGAGATTGATGAAAATTGAAGACAACAATTAAATTATTCAAAAAATAAGTACAACCCAAATTAAAGAACTAAATATGGAAAACACATGTCATGTGAAGAAAAAAATATCAATCTTCAATTTTGTTGTTGTAGGAAGATGTCGAACAAATTTCAAACTTTTTCAATTTTCAAAATTTTAAGAGTTAACAGTGAAAATAGGACTTACATTTCTCTATGAAACAGCCAAGGAAGGTTTATTCTCTGTTAAGTGAAGTAAAAAAAATATCAAATTAACTTCATAACAAACTTTTTTGTAAAAATATTCATTCCATTTCAACTAAATTTAATCCTTTTGATACTTTATAATTTAAATTTCATTCAAAGTCGTAAGTATACATATGGAACATAGTAAGACGTGAAGGGGTATTTCTATTTATTGTTTTGTGAAAGTTTTACAATTGTAATAGTCTACTGCTGATTGGCAGGGATTTAAAAATCTGGGACATCAAGGTCAAACGTTTCTTAATTTTGTGGAATTTGACAAAGAATAACTCAATAAACACCACTAAGTTGGAAGGTAAATCATTACATAGAAATATGTTTCCCATTTTGTTATTATCAACTATTGTTGCAACCCCATAGCTACTAAGCATGATGCTGTAGTTATAAATTGTTTTGACTATTCACAAGGAATTTAAGTTCATTGGTAGTTGTATGTAGTATTAATTTCAGTAGTAAGGGACAATTACGCAAAGGGAATGTCTTCCCTCATGATTGTTTCATTTCTAATGGGGATCAGGTGGTGAAAGGTTTAATTAATCAGGACAGCTATCCCTTTAAGGTTGTTTTAGAGTTGACTGTCTCGGTTGTTAAAAGGGGCATATATCACGAGATCTGGGTTTGATTCCTGGCTGTGGCAGACAATTCTTTGAATAGTCAGTCAAAAAATAATTTATAACAATTACATCAAGCTTAGAATTATGGGGTTGCAATGCTAGTTGACAATAAGGAAAGGGTATCATATCCATATGGTTGTTAAACTTTCAATTGTGACCATGAGGTGAAGTTGTATTAGCATTTATATTATTAATTATTATTATTATTAATATTGTTACTACTATTATAGATTTAGCCAATGACAGATTATGCTGGCATATTAAAATTCTCATTTCAAACATGTACTGCATTTGGTAAAAGAAATCCTCTTTTACAGTTAATCCTTAGCATGGTGAGAGGATGGCTGATAGTATCTGCATCATGGATTTTGTTGCATAGTGCTGTAGCCATTGCATATGCATTTGCCAGCACTTATGTAGTGTGGCCAATACTTATTTCAGTGATAGGAATATTTATATTTGGTAAGTTTTATAATAATTATATAAATATAGTAATTATATGTACAAAACACTTCATTACTCACCTATCCCAAACTGCCCCACAATGATGCGAATAATTGTCCACTAAGTACTTTATATACACCTCTCTCTCGTTCTCTCTTGTCTGTCTGTCTGTCTCTCTCTCCCCCTCCCCCCCTCTTCCTCTCTCTCCCTCTCTCTCTCTCATGATACATTCCCAAAAAATTTTGAATTTCCCCACCCAAAATGTGTCTCTGTATTCACCTCTGCTTAAAACAATAGGATCCTAGCTGTTTATACTGCATTATGATAATTATCCCAAAGACACAACAAATTGAAAAGTTGTTTTTGATTTCAAATGAAGAACAAACTTCACTTTTTAAAGAATGAAATCAATGCGTATTTAATATCTTTGGGTTTTTCATAATTGAACTAATTTGTTGTTTTGTTTTCTCCTTTTCTCCTCCGTATCTTGTCTTTGTCAGAATGTGCTTTGTGGATTTTTTTCTGTAAACATTAATTGTGATAATCTTTCCAGGAATGGCTCTTCTGTGTATGCTTACTGTTATGAGTTTTCATCAAGAAATATGTAATTCATTGCCGTATTCTAATATACCAGCACCAGGAGCCTCAAGATCTGCTGAAGAACCACTTCCCCCTTATTATGAGACGCATCCAAAGGCAGAAATATAATATTGCCAATTGAAATTTTGAGAAATGAATTGTAAAATCAAAAATATAATAAAATAATGCAAAGAAGTTTTAACATGAGCAAATGTACTTTAATATCTGTTTTGTCTTCTTCAATATGTTGTTGTTTTACTTCATTATTTAAGCATGTTTTAAAATAAACATTAAGAAGTCTGCCTTAAATGAGGGTCAGTGAATATTTTTAAACTATTAATTTTAGCACTTATTCACCATCTTTATTGTAAACATTAAAATGTAAAATTTTATTAAATACATTGAGTTGCTCAGATAGATTTCCTTCCTTGAAGAATAGACCCATTGTGTGTGTTTTTTTTAATTATTATTATTACTTGTCTATAAGATGCGGTTTTTCCTAAATATTTCATTTGAAAAGTACTGGGTTGTCTTATATAAACAGCTTAAGCGTTGTTGTGGTGATCTATCTTTTTACTCTGCCTTTCCATGTCAAAAAACTGGAAACCAATGTTACAATAAGCTGCAAAGGTAGTAATTAACATGCATATCTGTAATACCTAATTATATATGCGGACATATTCTTGGCATTTGCCAGATGATTCAGACCAATTCTTTTTTAATTAGCTGGTAAAGAGAGAATCTCAAATGAATGGCATAGTTAGTGAAATGTAAAATGGTAATGAATAAAAACTGTTGCCAAGATTTTGTTACACACTGCACTGATGGATGAAGCCTTGCAGCCTCATGGAATGACACTGCGAGACTTTTGCAGTTTGCAAAAGACTTGCCAGCCAGGTTGTATTCAGTCACTGCCTGGATTAGAATTCCAGCAGCCATCTGCTCTGATTGGTAGTTTTCCTTGGTTTCTCCAATGAAAACCAGGCAAATGCCAGAGCAGTATCAACAAACGTGCCTCAGAACGCACATAATCTTTCCTACATCTTCTTTATCCTATCCTCGCACACTTACATCAATATGCACTACACTATCACACAGGCTGAGAGACCAGTATGGAGCTTAGAGCTTCTCCTGGCTGAGGCAGTGCCCCTCTGGTGGGAGATGCCTCACTAGGGTAAACCCCACAAGCAGAAGACAGGTCAGCTCCGGATCTCACCATACAGCAGGAGAAGCCCCCCACCCCACCCAGAGCATTAACATGCTTTACACTTACGGAACTAATGCCCTTAGTATTTGACCTCCTGGAATCACTAACAGACAATCAATATCCAATCAGAGATAGAATTTTTTTTTAAAATTTAAAAACGTGGCAAAAAATGTCTCAAATGTTGACAACTCCACTCTCTTTTGTGAAGTTGAAGTACAGGGATGTACAGAAAGTTCACAAATGGATCATACAAATTTATAGTTATGTTTGTTCAAGAGTCAGAAGCCATTAACATGTGAGGAACGGGAAGAAAATCTGGTAACTGAAGGGAATGATCTTAATTATACTAAAAGTAAGAATTTGTTAAAAATAATAAATATTTTTAGGGGAGTTCTTCAAAATCAGGGGTTCTCTTACATTTGGGTAAGTACATTATGTGATGATAATTGAAAGAAGTTCACCTACATAAGATACATACTTGTATTCAACTTTCAAGTAACGAATCTGATTGCCCAATGCAATCATTCTTGAATTATATATCATTACTTTTATTAAAGAGCACATCCTGGGGGGGGGGCGGTAATTGGGCGGAAAGAAACGGTATATGACAAAATTAAGAAGTACTGACAGCATTGGGTGACATGTTGAAAATATGCCGCAAGACTTCCAGACACAAGCCCGGATCTATAAGCTGAGAGGAAACAGAAACACTGAAAGGCCAAGAATGGAATGGAAAGAGGGTGGAGCAGGCAATATGCATATTCCATAAAGAAAGATGATGTTTTACCCACGCTGAAAGAACTACTTACTTCGTAGTTACACCATTTGCAATGCATTCTCTGTACTTTTATTTTTGTACTGTTTTATTCTGTAGTTATTGGCAATTTATAATAATATTTTGGGGTTACTTTCTTTTCGACTGAATTCCAGGATCAGCTGAAATAATCTTACTGAAATTTAATTAATTTATAGACTGCCTGATCCTTTTTGTAAGTCTATATCAGTGGCGTAGGCTCAATGGATGCGAGTGTTGTGTCGCATCCCCAAGTTTTTCGGCCCGTTTAAAACTTTTGTTAAACATGTTTTTCTTTGCTTTTCCTCAAGTATATCTCTCTGTTCTGTTTGTACCTTTTGTGTTGTTTTTTTCCATGCACTTTTCGGTAGGCGTCTATGACTGTGGATGTGAACGGTCGCGAAACATCCCTTCGACGGCTTCGCTTCGTTGCCGAGGTCATTGAACTCTCTCACCATGTGCTGAGTGGAAGATAAGGGCTTTTGGCATTCGGTAATGCGACGCTGGCTGTCGCAGGTGGGTCTTCCCATTAGCTCTGTGTATCTCCCCAACCAAAGCTTCGCCATCGCCTCCTTTGAGCACCTCTCTTCTTTCAGGACTGGGAAACCCAGTGGTCACGTGCTACCGACTGGGAATCCATAGTGGTTTGGGGGAAGGACATCTTGACCACACTACACACTCATGTTTGCGAACTGGTCCTGATCCAGTACGTGATTTAATAGAGGTGGGTTGGCAGTACTAACAAACAACCGCACGCGGATGATAATTCTTTGTTGACAGTTTTTTCACGTGTATTGTGGGTTTTTCCAAAAGTGCTGAGTTTTTTTTTAAATTGCGTTATAGATAATAAAATGTCTTTCACAAAGAAAAATCATAGTTTTGCAACTAACGCGATAATTAAAAGCCAACAATTTTCATGTGAAAAGATGCGACATGCTAAGCACATGGTTTGTAGAAAAGAATGAGTTGCACATGGTAGGAAACTGTGAGTGAAAACTTCCAATGTCATTTGAAAGGTTTCCAAAACTCTTTAATTCTCAAGTACTCTAGAAGATGACGGAAAATCGACCTCTAATTAAACAATTTTTATATTATTTCGTTTATTACTGACAGAGCAAGCAACCCAAAATTAGCAATTCTTAAATATTCTCAAAGTCGGTACAGTAAGTAGGTATGTACATCGTAATATGAAATTCATAAACATATATTACGATGTCGATTAGATAACTTAATTGGTATACTTTGTTTAATAAGTAAAACTGATCGCTTCCCACTGCTCACTGAGCAGGAGACGCCACTAGTCTATAAACAATCAAATATTATTATTATTATATTCCGTATAGTGTCCCATATGGAGTCCATATAATTTACATGTTTATACTCTCCGGGCATTGCATGCAAGAGATTCGTGTTTCCTTCCATTTCATTTTTTAATTATAACTAAAACATCAAAAATTGGAATTAATAGTACCAGTGACACATTTTAGTTACAAAAATATGGCAAAAATGCTCAGCTTAAAGATGATTACATATTCTACGGCATTCCCGTGCTCTTAAGCTATTAACAAATATATTCTGTAGTTGATGAGAAATCAAAACGTACGCACAATTTTATTTAATAGAAAATAATATAAATTATTATGGAGATAAAAATAATAAATATACTTTTCTCTTATTATTTTCGTAATGTTGAAGTAATTTTACTTTCTGTAATTTGAATACAATTGAAAATGACCAAGAAAGTATTAATTTCCCTACCTTTACCTCTTGAAAATAATCAGAAAAATGAGTCAAGCATTAAATGAAACAAGTTTTATTGCGAAAATAAACGTATTTCAAACAGAAACCAGGACTAAAGTGATGTTTATGTGTCACTTTAGGAATAAATTACTTTTCATCTCTTATTAGTACACAATAAAGACGATTCATATACCTAAATTTCTTGATTGACGACAAACGAAATACGCAAATGGGAAAAGTAGATACAAAAATAAAGAATACTCTTAGGATATAATATTTAAAAAAAATGTTTTCATGACTTGTAACAAAGCGTTGATGATTTTGGTATCTAACTACATTTAAAATTTCCGCTAATATTGTGACACAAACTGGTGCATGAAGCTCATTGGCTGCAGTCGGCAAATGCTGCAAAACATTATTTCGTTCTCTGCCGTCTTTACAAGTCGGCAACATTGAAACAAGTCATTTCATTTCATCATGGTCTCCTTTGTGCATAATCGAATTTCAAAATGTGCATAACATCCTTTGGAATTTAGCTTACTGTATTCACATAATACTATAAGGAAAACATGCACTTTTTGTTATGTAATGTAATGATTGATTATGATTAGTTATTTAATATAATGTTTTTAAAGAATGTTCATGAAAACCTTTCTTCATCAGTGATATCTACATTTCAAAAAGAGTGGAACACAGAAGAATGAAACTTCCTAATTCTAATCTATCTGTAACAATTATTGTAGTATAATTTCTAGGCCAATGACCCCATCTCGACCAGGTTTTGTTCAGTTTCCCTGGACCCTTGAGTAAATGCTGAGATGGCCCCTTGTTTGCTCCTTAATGTAACTTCGCTCTCTCCACCCAAGACATAATATTGACTCGTCATACACGATTGTAATTGTATATGTGACTCAATCAATATTATTATTATTATTATTATTATTATTATTATTATTATTATTATTATTATTATTATTATTATTATTATTGTTGTTGTTGTTGTTATTGTTATTATTATTATTAAAATAGAAATATATTGCAGGCACATAAGAGTGAGTTGGATACGTACCTAACGTATAGAGCCAGCGAAGCTTCTTTGAACTGACGGTCCCGGTCCAATACAAAATATGGCTTCTGTGTCTCTTTCGGAGTGTTCCAGACAACATTCGAAAGGTTGTAAAATATCCCCGTCAGTAGTGTGTAGATTGTGGTAGAGAAACAGTTGGCCATTCGACCACATATATATTTCCGTGTACTTCACGTAAGTCCTATAAGTAAACAAATAAATGGTTGATATTAAAATCAAATGATATATCTTTTGAAACCTTGAGGAGTGAATGTGAATATAATACAACAATCATATCACTGAAAATTCACGTAAAGTTTCCAGTAACGTTTCTGCTATCCCATTCTCAAACGAATTTGTGTACAGTACTGAAAACGATAATGTGCGTCTGTACTTACAGCATGACAACTCAATTCTCGAATCAGGTGAAATGCTCTAAGTAGCCTACACCTCTGGAGATTCTGACTACTGTTCGTCGTTTCAAACCGTGTGTTGAATTATATAAAAGTGCTTGGTGTGGTGAGTGATGTCAAACACACTACTACAATGCTCACTGAGAGATTTGGATCATTTGGAGTTTAGGGACCTCTGAATACACACAGTAGCGCGCGAAGTGTCGGAGGCAAATTCTCATTGCCCCGTAATTTAGGCGCATCCGCACTCTCATACTAAATAATAATGGGTTGAAATAAAATTAGGAAAAATGATCATAAATGTTAATAAAGCCCTTTATATATCACAAATTTATAATACATTGCAGGTAATGTAAGTTCTCCTCTGGAGGCCATTTCCATCATCAGTCACGTCTTCATTGTTTCCATTATCTTCCTCATCAACATCATCTCCAATATTATCATCTACTTCTATTTCATCTCCAAGAGCAATATTATGTAGTATACAACATGCACGAATGGTGTGCACCACCATTTTTATGTCCCTGAATTTCACATGGTAGAGCAACCTAAACTTTTGTTTTAACAGTCCAAAGCAATGTTCAATTTTCTCCACATAAATCATGAAGGTTATTCATCAAAGGTGACCTCCTAAGGACACGTGCATCATGAACTGACCCTGGGAAACTAACAAACACTTCTCTGATCCGTTTCTCATTGTCACAGACCACTTGCAACTACAAAGAAAGGAGAAAACGTTAAAGAATTGATGCAAGCAAAAAAATAAATTATACATAATCTTACCTAATAAATTATATTATTAAATTTTATTGACATAATGAAATTTCAATTATAAAAATTGATCCTGGGGTGGGGATCGGCAGCGTTACGTTGAAAAGAACTCGTTGAAAAGGATACTTTGTGATAGCCCACCCTCGCGACCTACTCTCTTTCCGTAGAGAAAACTATCTTAATGTAAAAAAATTAATATAATAAAATTTGGTGACGCCACAATATATGTTTTTTAACACATTTCATTAAGAGAAACAATTGTATCATTACAATTATAGTTGTAGGAAAACGCCGAAATGTTTTAATATTTTTTAAAATTTCATAGTATCAGGCATTTTAACGAAAATGACACTTGCACCTTTCTCTGAAGCCACTTTTATGTTTATTTAAGGCATTAAGGCGCCTTATTTAAGGTTCCAATTTAATTAATAAATATTTCGCGTTTTTTAAGAAAAATGGCTTAAAGAAAATACAAATCGCTTAGGTTTCACACAAAATTTCGCAACAAATTCTCATATTAAAAAAAAATTGAACATGACCTTATTTGAAGATCTGATTTTGATGAACACATTTCATTAAGAAACAAATTTATCTTCTATAGTAGATGTAGGAAGACGCACAACAAATTGTTAATTTCTTCAATTTTCACAAAAAATCAGTTATTTACCAACATGAGACATTCATCATTTCCTTAAACGTCTTTCAGACTATCCAACAACAAAATTGAATCAAAGTCAATGGAGCCGCTTTTAAGAAAATATTGTTTCTATTGAAAGAAGAAAACATATTTCAATCTTTAATATTTTAATTGTAGGAAGACGCCGAAACAAAAGTTTCCAACTTTTGAAAAATCAGTATTTTTAAGCAACATTAGACCTGCGCCATTCTTTTAAACGTCTTTCAGACTATCCAACAAGAAAATTTAATAAATATCGATGGCGTCATTATTTTGAAAATGTCCCAGATGCTTTATGAAAATACCCCCAAAATTAAAATATCGGTTTCAAATTCAAGGAGCCGCAACATCAGCCACGTCAATTGGGGAATATCAATTTTGGAGAAATCGGCTGAAAGGTTTAGCCGCTAGGGTTGTTCACAGACGGAGAGACTGAAAAGTTTTTATATCAATCAATTTTTTTCTGTACCAAGGACCCACAAAATATGGATTCTGGGGGGGGGGTTACACCACGTGTTAAATTTTTTTTTTCTTCTGAATTTGGCAACTGTATTTTTCCACTTTCTCGTTTTGAGGGCCCTTTAAGAAGACTTTTCTGCCGACAATTCACCGTTTTTTCGCGCAGCATTACATAACTTTCTCTATACCTCGGTAGCAGTAGTGAGCAGGTGGAAGATAGTGTACTACAGCGGTAGCGAGAAAGTAAAAACTAGATTGCCCATTGGAAATCAAAGCCAGAACCACGTGCGCGGGAGCTGAATATAACTGACATGAATACTACACATAAAGTTAAGTAATATTTCAATATAGATTTTATAACTTTCCCGTGTGCCCATCTCTGCCCGGCGTGAGGTGCGTATTCATTCTGCCCTCAGATATCTCAGTTGCGCTCCAAGTTCAGTACTTGTAAGTGCCTGTAAGTGTAGTAATCGTGCTCAATCCTGTAAATATGGCGAAGTCTCTCGTCCACTAGTAGTCTAAACTCTAATGTTATATTGTTTTTTGGTATTGGCTATTTTAAATGTAGTGAAATACATTTCGTTTTCCCCCCTCAAATTTTAAGTTATTTTATGCCTTTTTCGAAGCCTATTTAATAAAAGGGTCCTAAAACGTAAGTTTTAATAACTTACGTTTAACTTCCGATGTCTAGTAATTTTAGTAAAAGTAGTGCTAATGATTGTGTAGCAGATGCAATTCCACGATTATTGCAAATTATCTCTACATATCGGTTTTTGTAAAAAATTGATGGTCAATATTTTAAGAAGTAATGGCATTTAGTTGAAATATCAAACAAACAAAACGCGTTCATTCTTTTTGGCTCGTCAACACGTGAAAACTAGTGATGCTACAAAATGGCACAGACTATCTCGTGCTAATTAGTTGTTTTTTCTTTTGAATCTGGGCTATCCTAACGGTTTTGCTTCACCTCCTTACTCAACTACCATCTATCGGCGCCTGAAGAGCCTACCAACGCGCCTCGCGCGGAAACCTTCGTTTCCCTGGAGATCTTCTCCAGTGCAGAGCTTCCTCGTGCTCCTCGAACCAAATGCCGATGTACCCCTTTAATAATAGCTTGCGTATTTATACCCGTGCGAGAGCTCTCTCATGTTAAGGCTAAATGCACCGAAAAATACTTGTAGGAAAATTTAATAGATCGCAGCACTGTCATGAGGGAATTTACTGATAAAGTCTAAACCAATCGTACGATTTTCGATCTGTAAACGGCATTTGACACCTTTTTAAAATATATTTTATGCTACGAAGCTCTATTTCCACAAATCTGGCAAAAACGCGTATTTGAAATTGGTGCTCAAACTTCCGAGAATTTTTTTTAAAAAATGTTGGCTGATAGGGCGATTGCTACATATTTCCTGAATCTCATGCCATGTCAATCATGCAAATCGGATGAATAGGAGTGTCGTAAAGTGAAATTTGGGAGAACACCTCGCGGCCCTTCCCCTTTTTACCCGTTGCGTCTTCCGTTGAGGGCTCTCTCGGCGCGGCGGCACGGTCAGCCCCTGCGGCGTGAGGCCAACCCCCGGCAGAGGCAAGAATTGCGAGACTGGCAAGCCAGGCAGTCGATTTATGCTTTCTACACGCACCTCAATATATTTTCCCCCCACTTATCAAACTAGTGATACTGTAACAAAAGCAAATGGTCTCGCACAACTGTAATTGTAGTATAAAACTATTTATATAGTTCACATATTTCCGTCTTCCTTCAATACCGTCATAAAATTGTTTGATGCTGATTTCAAAAATAAAATTGAACTAATTGGTAAATATCACCAATATTCCATCGCCTCACAGCTTATTTTACATATATTTTACTTCTAAGATCTTCCATTATCATTCCACTACCGGAAAAATTAACAGATATTACGCACGAGTACTTTTATTCTACGACTCGATTTTTGATCCTAAAACGGCGTTTGTCTCCTTGATAGAATTCACTTTGTGATTATTTTTTCCCAAATAAAATAGCGGACGGTAATATTAAAAATGTTCCGGACAAATTTTAAAAAGTGGTAAATTACCGCGCTGTCATTTTCGAATCAAATTATTCCTCACGTGAATATGTTAGAGATTGCTAAACCAGATGGATTTGGGGCGATGTTTAAATTTTGAATATTAACATTTTGAAATTAAATTTATATAATGTTTGCTTTTACAATCATTGTGTATTTGCAATCTTGTGCCAGTATCAACAGCTCACTACAAAAATTGACAAACATGTTCATTATTTTACAACACTTTGCCAGATGACATTAATCGATTTAATTCGATACAAAAGTTTAAGTCCCAAGAAAAATATTTTCTACTGCACAACTGTTTCTGTACAACTAGAGACTACAACGAGCATCCAAAAGGAAAGTAATATTCATTTTAACAATGACATATAATGTAATATTTACCATTTGTACTGAATAATTTCAAAGTACATGTAACAATTATTGTACTTCAGCTTCTGAGTCAATAACCCCCATCTCGTTCAGGTATTCGTCTAGTTTCCCGGATCCTTGAGCAAATGCTAAGATGGCTCTTTGTTTTACTTCTGGTTATAGATGTAACTTCAAATTAAGTCCCGCAAGATTGGCCTTCTCCTCGTAGCACGTCACTCACATTTTTTAAATCGTTTTTGAAATAAATAAAATATAAATGTCTTTGCTACTCTCCAAATCCGATGTTAATTCTCTGAGTTTTTTTTAAACAATGGCAGCATGTACACGTGAAAGACTGCGGGTGTCAAAAACATTTTTGAACGTAGGGATAGGTTGTTTGGAGAAATGGCGCTTTGTTGGTGCCGCTCCCTTCTTAGCACCTGCAAGCCTCAATCCTTCTCAGCGGTTTGATGCGCACAGAAATTGAATGCACGAAAGAAACGCAATCAAAGGGGTCCGTTGTAATAATATGCACGATTTATTGGAGGAAAACGAAAGTAAAATGTATATGCTCGTCCTTTTTATATTTCATGAAACTGTTACCATCACTTCAAAATTCTTCCGATTCTCCTACAATTACAGCAAATGTGAATCTTCCTCTTTTTATGTGAGGCTGAAAATCTTAAATTATTCTGCGCGTCTGATTCTATCTGACCACCACGGTTGTGAAAGCACGGTGTAGGTTGTTGTTCCGTGGTACCTGCGACGGACAGTCGTTCCCTTCACCGTCACCCGCCGCAAAGAGGGCAAATTTCGCATTTCTGGTATTAGGTGGTATGTGGAGAGAAACAAAATTTATTTTCGGTTACTACTGGGCAACAAAAAAGCCACAAATGCCTTTGTAATTATTTCTTTTATTTATCTTTGTAATTTTTTCGTATTCTGGTACTTGCGGTGCTAACTTGATGTCCAGTTTGCCAATAGTTTGTAGCAGTGTAAAATGAAGAGCAATAATTTTTTTTGCGTAACAAAAAAGCCACAAATTTTGAGTTTAATTCCAATTTTCTTTACACTTTCTGTGCTAATTTTACAGACCTCGTGAGTAGGAGGTCCGAGAAACCCGACGCTGCACTGGAACTGTGGTTCGCAAATAGACAACATTGCGAATGCGTTTACCAAATTCAC